GCACTTGCAGTCTGCTTTCAATTAACACAGGCCCAATGTGCCCAGCCTAAGCTCAGCCACAAATGCAACCAGTCCATGCATACGTTGCAAGAACAAACGCACCCACCGCTGGGATGTCCCTGGCCCTTAATCAGAGCACCCTCCATCAAACTGTACCGGGTGTTCGGGATGCAAACGGGGAGGGAAGAATAATGAAGATAAAGCCCTGTCGAGCCAAAGTGCCGTGCAACACCTTTGATGTAATAGTCATATGATTAACAAACTGTCATATCAAAGTTTTCTGCAAAGTAGGAGTGTTCTGACACGTCACATTTTTAAAGCTGACATTTTGATTCATTACCGTAAATAGCATGTCGTATTCAATATTGTGACAAGGAGCGGAGCGGATCTTTTCGGGCTCTGTAACATTTCGGAGTCGCCGGATTTCTCTCTCTTCCATGCGAGACAGTCGAAACAAGGCGCGAAGGAGGCTTCTCCAGAACAGGCCTGTTATTTCTCAAAATAGCCCCTTTCTTTTTGAGCCCTGCTCAGAAGAGCGGTGCAGGCAGCTCTGAAGGCATCGCTCACAAAATAAAACAAGGAATGGTCTCAAGGACCTTTGCAACGACAAGGTAGCGGCTAAAGGGAATCACGCAAAAATGAATGTCTGACAAGTTGGCAGAAATCTGGAGGCCACAGAGAAGGATTCGGACTGGGAAAGCGAGGATCTAGGCCTAGGAAGAGCCACTTCAATTCCTGTCTCTGCCAGGAATGAGACTCCAGTGAGTCCCTTAATCTCAGTGGACCTCAGTTCTTCCCTGTTCAAAAGTGAAGCAATAACACTGGCTTGCTCTCCTCTGGAGGGCAGGAGCCACCCCCGGCTCCGGGCATGTACAGCACCGGACGCACTGGGTTTCAGGTCCAGCAGCTGCTGCAATGCAAACACAGGCAATGCCCAGGGACCCACTCATACAGAGGGACCAGATCCTCTTGAGAAACGTGTGCAATCCCCTTTCAAGCCAACACGCAGAAGAGCCGAGGACGCAGGCGATGCTCTGTGAGGATTTCCCACTGCGCAGGGCATCGGCACCCTTGCCGGCGGCGGTGAGCCGCCACAGCACAGCCAACAGTCAAGTCCACTTAATACCTTTGAGTATATTTGTCCTTCATCCTCTGTCTATTCTGGTGCCCTGCTTTGCTCTTCAAGGAGGAGGGACCTAGAACCATGTCCAGCATCCGTACAAGTGCATGACATCTCCCCCAAACCAATGCACTTTTTTGGCTAGTTTAGTTTGCCCCTTCATGAGAAAGCGACAGAGAATCAGCAGCTGAGCGCGCCTGCTGAACGCTCAGATCCCATGGGGATGAGTGCAGCACCTAGACCCAGAGAGAGAAGGTTACCGTGCAAATAAACTCTGGGCACGATGCATTCGCCGGACCGGCTCTCCCCCCAAAAGCGCAGTCTCCGGATGCCACCGGCCACGGCGCAGCCGAGACGGGGTGGGGTGGCGGCAGTCACGCGCACACGGCATGGATCACGATGTTAATTGAGCATGGGTTGGATCCAACCGTCTGTGCTTCCCCACGAGCCGTTACACACCACTCATCATATGCTACCTCAGGAAATCTTGTAGAAGGATTTGTATGCCAGCAAGTGTAGTAGTAGTGGTCTAGCCAGACATCGAAAGCATATTGGCACCACTATAATTTGTCCATTCTCCAATATGTTTTCCTAAAAACGCCCATATGCTTTTCCTGGAGCTCCCATATGCTTTTACAAAGGGAAACAAAAACATTTTGTTAGTTGTGAGCGATTGATCCTTACGTCTTTTGCAAGAGCCGGCTAGAAGGCAACAACAATAACCACTCAGCTGTGGGATTTTGCGTGCCTTTTTTTTTTTTTTTGCACTGCTTTCCCTTCCCTTTCATGGAGGAAATCATGGAGACTGGCAATCCCTAGGGGACCATCAAAATGTTGCAGGACATGAAAGGATGCTGCATGCACTGTGGGGTAGCCCAGGACATACAAGCAGACTCTGCAATACTGAAATACAGGAAAAAATAAGGGTCACTGGTTGGGAGGACAATGACACCTCAAGCTCTGAGCGGCATCGGACGCTTCGATATGGTGATTCTGGTCTTCCCTGCAGAGAGCCTGAATTGATCACCGAGGGCCTGATTAGCTCAGGCAGGTAGCACGAGAGCCCCTGCTGCTATGCGTCGAGCCGGGGGAAAGTGCACGTGCAAACTCGTACTTGAACCCACCTCCACCCCCCATGGACCTGGGTTCGAGGTTAGGACAGGAGCTGATCTCCGGATGAGGACCACGAGGCAGGATTCCCATCGCCCTCTCGTCCTCCCGCAGTTGTAAGGACCTTCTAGGAAACCAGTCTGTGGCCAATAGGTGCATGCGGGTGTGTGCGTGTGCATGTGCACGCACACATGTGCATAGGAAAAGCAAGACACGAGGACAAGCAGGACAGCATGTCAAGCAGGAGCATATTGAATGAACCTGGAAAGAAAAAGGCAAAAACCATACCAACATGGGACACAAATGTGCACACCTGTTTGGCTCCTTGGAGATTACAGAACAGCAGAGACTCCCCCCTGCCTAAAGAAGGGGGCTTGTGTCCAAAAGCTTGCAAAAAAAGTTCTTTGCAACTACTCAGTTGGTCCAATAACAGGTATCACATCTACCCCAAGAAGCTTGCCTGCCTCTGTCCTTAGACCAACACAGCCACCACCAAAAACCTTGCACACCTGCTTGTGTACACCAGGAGTGGCCAATTGGAGGCACAAGTGTCACAGGTGGCAGCCTCTGCATGCGGCATGCAGCAGACACAGGAGCGGGCAGGCAGCACAGTGGAAGGTGGGACCAAGAGCAGAAAGCAGAGCAGGAGATGGGGCAAGGGAAGGGGACCGGAGGGGCACTCGGCTGCCAGAAAGGCTGGCCCCCACTGCCATAGGCGATCCTGCAGGCGTGGCGAGGAGGAGCACAGGACCACTTTCTTGCAGGTGATCATAGCGCAGGAGCAGACAGAAGAGGCCACCTAAATCCTGATACTGTGTGGCATCTGAGAGCTTGAATTTGCAATTTTAATATTTTGTCTATCTTGTTTGGTATCCTCCGCTACTCCTAGAAGACGCACGCCGGCACGTACACACGCAGTACGCAAGTCTCCCGTGACACGGCCCAGCGCCCCGTAGTCCTGATCAAATCTGGCCGGGTTCGGTCTCAGCAAACTTAGATTCCTTTGCAATGATTTAATCTGATGTGAAGCCTCATTACGAGGTGGATGCAAGAGATTGGAGCCCGAATTTCCATAGAAACAAAGCTGAGCAAATGGTCGAGAGAGGGGAAATCGTTTTCTTGCTATCGGGCATGGAGAAATGGACAATTAGCTGTTCTCTGAACGACAGTCCTGGCCACCCGCGAGTCAGCCCCGAGGCCTCGCAGCGCTACGGAGGAGGATCCCGAGGTTTTTTTCATGGAAAGCCAAAGACTGCCCATGTCCTCCCCGACTCCTGAGAGCAACAGCATGGAAGAGAGGGCAGGGGACAGCTGTGGTGCTTGGTCTGCGGGTCCCAATGGGAAAGAAGGGACAACCCCATTGTATTAAAAAAATAAATAAATGAGAGCAAATATCATCTGAAAAATGGCTGCACTGTTAACAGCTGTTTAATTTGGAGCACTGATGGGCCCTGGCCGGGGAACCCTGGCATGGACAGAGCAAAGCGAACAAGCACGGTGCCCATTAATCTTCAGTAACCCAGCAACTGGGAAGAACAAGCCTTGAACCAAATTCCTCTGCATTGTTATTAATCTCCCGTCCTCTGTTTATTAATCCCTTGTCTGTCTTCCTATTTTGCCAATTATTAATGTTCCCAACTGTTTGCAGTAAACAGGAGGCTGAAAACCCATCTCCCGCTCGCTATAATTCATGAGCCAAAGGGAAAAGAAAGGCAAGGGCTCACGGCAGAGCAGGACACGTGCTCAGCACTCGTGGCAGGGAGGGAGGAAGGAAGCCGCATCCCTCGGCTGTTCCCCCGATTCCCTGACACGGTCCTGTGTGCCACACCAGAGCCAGCCACCTGCTGCTGCTGCAGAGAGCAAAGCTTGGCAAAGCAAAGTCTCATACGCTCCAAGCTGGATACGTGGCCTCCAGAGGTGCCTCACCCTTGCACGCCGTATCCAGCAGCAGGCATGCATGCACCGATGCTCCAAAAAGAAAGGGAAAGCAAGCCCATGTCACAGCCGGGCCCAGAGATCACCACGTACAGGACTCCCTGCATTCACACTTATACCCCTGTGTATGTCCCCCGCTCTGCCTTGGAGGAAAACCGTGCTTGGATACTCAGCATCCAAGGCCAGACTCCTGATAGACAACTAAATCAGGGATGCACAAGCATTGGTGAGCCTGAGCTCACTTCATCAGACTGCTCTTCCCCTTTTCGGCTCTACACCAGCTGGCTCTAGACCTGTATCCCCTTGTTCAGGATTTTTAGTGGCTTCTCCCAGCGTTCATACACCAATTACCGCACCGCAGTGGCCTCTCCAACATCGACGCTGCCTCCCGGGATGCTGTCACGATCGGTCAAGGCTGGAGGATGGACCTCGCCCTGGTACCACTTCCTTCTTTAGAGCTTCTCCCCCCAACAGCATGTATTTAATTATTTTATTTCGGGGGGAGGAAAGTGAAGGGTAATATAAGAGCTAGCCTCAAGAAGACTGACGGTCCCAAACTGTCCCTCCGGCTGAGCTGCGGGTCATTGCTAAACACCTTCCATCAGTGCAATGCAACCAAAGAGCCTAACGGTCAAATGACCTTGCACCTTTATTGTACTGATGCCCTCGTGCCCTTTTTACTGCTGCACACTCACATGAGCCCAGGTCTAAGCAAGTGACAACAACTTTGCAGACACGAGGTCAGGCAACGCACACGCAGCGAGCCGGGGGGTCGCCGTACAACCTGCTGAGATCAGCCGTCGATGACGGCAGGGAGACCCCATCCTCCTCTCACCTTCAAACAAGGCAGCTGTCTCCTGGCGCAGGCAGCTGGATGCACAGGGGCGTCTGATGGGGGGCTGTGGGTGAGAAGACAGAGACCAGCATCACCATTTTGCATGCCAGAGCAGCAATCAGTAATTCAGGAAGGCTGCATTGCTCTCTCAATGAGTGAACAAGCCAGCAGGCTTTCTCTAACCATCCCAGAGACACCATCCCCACCTCCTGCAAGCCAGGGTATCCGGATCCTGCTGTGGCTTTTCCCCCTCCAAGACAGGTTCAATCTGTACTGGTGCTGGAGCAAGCAGCTGTTTGTCTGGGAGAGAAGCAGCTTGTTTTAAATCAATGGAGCGAAGGAGAAAGCCGCTAGCTTAACAGCCCTGGGCAATGAAACCCTTTCCAACTTCTGGAAGGATGTCTGCCCATTGCACTCAACCTGCCTTCCCTTGCTGAACTGGGCCCCATCTCCAGGCATGGGGGAAAATGCAGAATAGGACAAGAAAACTGTTTGCTCGCTGTTTAGCTCAGCAGTGCTCAACCTCTGCATCCCGTGCAGCCTCAGCCAGCCCCTGTATACCAGAAACAGGTCCTGCGAGCCAGGATCGGACCCTGATGCCCTGCACTAGGTCACGCCACCTCCCCATGGGTCCAGAAATTTGGCAGCAGGCAACCCGCCATCCAATTTTCAGATCCATAGGGAGCTACACAGGCCAGAGCTGGCCCCTGGGCCAGGAGTTGAGTGCGCCTGCTTTAGCCCGTGGTCCCCTTCCGAGACAGTCCGGTTTTGCCACGTGAACGCCAACAAGAAGTAGAGCGGAGATCCAAGTCTTCCCATGCAAGCTGCTAAACAGGCACCCAAGGTTCAGGACTAGTTAAACAAACTGGTTCTGCACCAGAGGGTTTAGATGCACCAGCTGAACCACAATGGCAGCTTTACATGGCATTTGCACATTTGCTTTGGCCTTTTTTCTTGGAGAAGGTATCAGCACCTGGCAATTTGGTTCTGGTGAAAGGTTAGGTCTGTTCTGTAAATTCACCACCCCCAGCCCCAGGCCCTCCCACAGTGGGAACATTTCCCACTGTTTTGATGGGTGTATAGATGGAGTCCACCCAAAGATTTAATCCGTCTCTATTGGAACATTTTCACGGGGGCGGGGGGTAAATGCAGGCTTCCTTGCAGCCTTTCACGTCTCCAGATGCGGTGCAAAATCCCCCTGAAGCCAGCGTCATAC